ACTGAAGCCTAAAATTTGAGGGGCTGGGTAATCTTGAGCGGAGGGAGTAGAAGAGGTGCTAATATGTGAGAAAACAGGACTATAGGCTGATGAGAAAGGAGACGAGAACCTTAGTGAAGAATATCCATATGCTCAAGATAAATAATTTTCCTAGGTAATTATATCATTTTTCTGTTTTATTTAATTATTGGTATTTTCTGCTTTTTAAAATTACTTTGGTATAATATTTTAGCTATAAATTGGGTTAAATTATTAAATAAGCTTCTGTTAACATGGCTGACAACCTACCATTTATAAGATTGTTTCACTGGGAGTCCAAAGCAAATTGATTTTAGACCACAGCCCATTTGTAATTTGGAATTGCTTGTGTATGTATGTCTGGGTGGGTGTGTACATGAGTGTGGCTATATCCATGCAGATATGTATATGTAGATACTTTAAATCCATGTATATATTCTATTTATAAAGTCTTGAATACCCTTCTGTTTCTTTTTGTTAATCGTGGTAAGATATACGTAACATAAAGTTTACCATTTTAACCATTTTTAAGTTTATATTTTCAGTTATGTTAAATACATTCTCATTGTTGTACATCCATCACCACTGTCCATCTCCAGAACTTTTTTGCTGTTTCTTCTTCAATTTTAATGCCTTTATATTGTACCCATATTTTAAATGCTTGCATTGTCTAAAATTTGAAATTATTTTTTTTAATGTTTGTTCTACTTTTTTAAGCCTACAGATGAATTTTCAGATCTGCCTCTTAGAGTAGCAGAGATTACTAAAGAGCAAAGACTACGAAGAGAAAGCCAGTACCAAGAGAATCGCAACAGCTTAGTAGTAACAAATGGTGGAGGTAAACATAATTCTCATGACATATAAAGTCTTTATAATCACTTAACTTTTTAAAGTGGTCCTTTTCACATCCACTTCTTTTGTATATCTATGGCTTCTTCACTCTTAAAGACTTCTTTTCATATATTATTGAAAAAAATTATTTTCCACTGAAACCTCTATTTATGTTTTCAGGCTTGCAGTTAAAATACAGTGTTTCCTCCTTATTTTTATTTTGGGAGAAAACTTTATTAGAGACAGTTCACCTGGAGTAGATCACCATGATCTTCTTTTGAAGTACTATTTTCCCTTTTTAAGATTCCTGCTTTGGTCATTATTTGATCTCTTTCAGGAATTCAGTGCATCTCCTAG